TAAGGACGAAGGGTGCACGGCACCCTCCAACTACCCACGCTTTAGATTGAATGTGCTTTCAGTTTTAACAAAAGTACTGAAAGAAAGCGACCTTCCAGTGTCCACGGACGACAAAAAAGGGCATACAAGACAACTCAATCACTGGTACCACCAGGCTACGAAAAAAAAATCTCTCCAAAAAAAACACAACTATCCGGAACTCTTTGGACCCCATGGAAACGCTTGCGCAGGGGCTCAAAATGTACAGACCATAATGAATTGTCTGATAATATTATTATACCAAGACTTTTCGCGATAATCGGCCTGAGGTCGGGGAAAAAGTTTCCGAAATCCGGATTTCCAAACTTATCAAGGGAAACAATCAGCATCTTTAATTAATACATTGCAGCTAAGATGCGTGTTGTTGATCGTAGACCTAATGAGTAAAGATTAGTGAATTGAAGGCAGTGGCTTGGAATAGATAGCAGATTTTGTCACTACTGGAAGTCACATATCGATCGCGGGATTTGCAGCAAGCAAGGTCTCATTAGTTAGTGTGTTCCAATGACGAAACACATGTGCGTCAGTTCATTAAAAAACAGTTTCACTAATCTAACGATGTTTTTTAGTTTAGTCTTAGTAAGTGTTTTACGCAGTTGCAACACAAGAAGGTCATACAAGTGCGGGAGATTAGAGGTGTTACAAGAGTGTAACAAACACAAAAAAGGAGGGGAGAGACGATAGATGTTCAAAGACGATAGATATTCAATAGGAAAGAAGAAGCTGTTTTAGTTTTAGTTTTAGTAAGAGTTTTACAGCACTTGCAACACAATAAGGTCATATAAGTGCCGAAGATTAGAGGTGTTACAAGAGAGTAACAAGCACAAAATAGAAGGAGTGGAGATAAACAGGACAGATGTTTGATAGGAAAGAAGAAGCAAAACACACCAGAGCACCCGCCAACCAACCACTAACACTGTTTGATATCTTTTGAGTTGAGCTGCAGTTAGTATTTTATAGAACTGGCAACACACACTGGTCATATAAGTGCAAAAGATTAGAGGTGTTGAGAGACAGTTCTAGCACATTGACATACAAAGATAAGGAGGAGAACTAAGGACGATAGACGATCTTTGAGAACATGCGAGTGTGTGGTAAACTACTCACTCCACTCCACTCCATATAACGACTCCCTCCCCCTCCCCCCTAAAAATACTTTTTTTAAATTAAAAAAAATCCGAAACCACACATACA